AATTTAGCGTCTGCTGGTCGGCTGCACGTTACACGGTGTCAGAGTCCACCTGAGGCATTTCAGTCATCGCTGACAATTAAACACCACCTTCAACAAACCTGGAAATAAAATATGCAGCTTCACAACTTTAATGCTGCTGTGTCCACAAGTCATTTGATTTTTTTAGAGATGAGACATTTTCTTAAAGAACAGGCGGAGAAACGGGTTTGTCAGAAATGTATTCAACGTTATAGTTTGACCAATGTCCCATCTGTTAACATGGAGGAGGCGGAGTTTATGGCCTTAAATTGCAGCCAGCTCTAATTCGTTTGGCTTCACTCCCAGGCGTCTGTTTCTCTGTCCATCTTAATACTTAGTCTATGCTTTAAACAGGAATATCTACTTTGAACATTTTTTGCTTGTTGAAATACTTTTAAGTGAGAGCTTGTTATGGTGAAAGCTCGAAGGCGGTAACATCTGATCACTTGTAATACTGGACGCCTGATGCATGCTGGTATGTCTGGTGATAAGAGCCGTTTATCTCCAGACTGGTTCAAGTCTTCTCTGCTCTCCCTTTCTGTGCAGGAATGAAAGGCATGTGAACATAAATGAGCCACAGCCCTGCAGCCCTCAGACACACCCACCCTCCATGTGATCACATACATACACTCCTTATTCTCACTGCTGCTTTACTCGCTCTTCATGTCGCTGCATTTTATTATTTATTATCCAAGTCCAGAATCAAACGCCCTGAAAGAGCCAACCTTTGATTTAGCCCGTGAACTTTGACCTCTGCAGGGTCATAAACGTCCCTCCTGGTTTTAAACGCCGCAAGACGGGGTTTGTCTTCAGTTTACAACCCTGCACCGTCAGATACCAGAGTTATGAGTCATCTGAGGGACTTGTTTCAGTGCCAAGCCTGAAATCAAACCCTGTCAGTGAGGTGTGTTTTCATATAGCTTCACAGGTGTGCAGTGTGGAACATTTCACACATTAGTAAGATGGCCGCCGGTATGTGGCGCTTTCACAGTTGCACAAAAGCTCTGAAAACGTTCCAGATATTGGGGTTGAGGTGCATGTGTGAGCGCAAACAGACACATTTTTGTTTTATTTATTTTTATTTATTTATGAAAAGCATTCTTCACACATTAGTAATTACACATAATAGTAAAATAATTGCAAGACTCCTCCCTCAAACTTTCAAACATTGGAGCACTTTCTTTGCAGAAAGAGGGAGGTACGATGCTCGCAGTAAATTTAACAATTTAGCTCCTCCGAAGATTTTTTTTTTCATATTCAAGTAAAATGACACAACACAGGAAGCTTTCACCTTGGAGGGTAGAGAAAGACAGAGCAGGTTAACAGATGAAAGAAAAAGACAAACATGAGGAAATAACACCCAAGTACTCCAATATGTCAAATAAAATCAGGTCTTGGTTAGGTAGCTTTGACATATTCAGTCCATATCCTGTCAAATCTATCCAGACACATGTTTTACTCCACCTTTACCTGGATATTAATCCTGCCAACCGATGTTTTTAATATCCCCCCCCCCCCCCCCCGAGTTGTTGATGTTCATAAGCAAAGCAGATTTCAGCCTCAGGAAATGAGGCGACAGTGGAATGAACACCTGTGAGACACGAAGTCAACAGAAACTGAAGCTCATATCAAAATGCTGCTGGGCTGCATGTGGGACTTGGTGTCCCTCCAATGGCACAACTGTGTTAACTCCCCGTTACGTTTGGCACTGGTGACATCATTTGCAGCTGAGCACAGATCGGATCTGAAGTATCTGAGTCACTGGAAACAGCCACTGCCTCAAGCCCAATTCACACATACTCCGTCAGCGCCGCGGTCCGTCAGCGCCGCGCACTACGTTGTACTTAGCCTCCACGCTAGTCAATCATTGTGTTCACACGGGGCGCGCTGCGGTCCGTCAGCGCCGCGCACTACGTTGTACTTAGCCTCCACGCTAGTCAATCATTGTGTTCACACGGGGCGCGCTGCGGTCCGTCAGCGCCGCGCACTACGTTGTACTTAGCCTCCACGCTAGTCAATCATTGTGTTCACACGGGGCGCGCTGCGGTCCGTCTCCGGCGCGAGCCACCGACGGCGCTGCGCTCTGCTCCGTTTCAAATACGCAGCGAGTCTATTTTCACCGGAGTGCGCTGCAGGAACGCGTCAAGCTGGACAGAATATGACAGCCCGGACAGGAAGTCAGACAAGGAAACGCACAGAGCATCCGGTCAATTTCAAAATAAAACATCATATACGGACTCGCAATCGTATTTTTCATCACTTTATCAACATGACGTCAAAACAGGAACCGAATGAACAACAATGCATCCTCAGAAAGACAAAGCAACATGTTGTTTGCATGTTTTTCTCTTTATTCCCGCGGGATCTCGTAGTTCTCCTGTGATGTGTCATGGGTGCGCTCCGCTGCGGATCCAGAAACAGATCCAGTGTGAATGGACGCGAGCCGGAGCAAAACCGTGGCGCTGACGGACCGCGGCGCCTGGAGTACGTGTGAGTTGGGGGTCACTGTCAGAGAAGTCTTAAACTATCTGTGTAGGTGAAGGAGTGTTTGACTGAATGTGTTTACATCTCCTCTATTTATTATCTATCTTATCAACATATTTAAAGGTCCCATATTCTTCTTCTTCTGGTTTTATCTGCTCTTTAGTGTGTTTTCTAAGTGTCCTGTGCATGTTTAGTCACATCTATGTGCAAAAATTCAAAGTCTGCAGAAACGCAGCTTCTCCTACGTCCTCCTGTTAGCTGTAGCATTAGCTACATGTAACGCTCGGTTCTAGCCCCCCTCGATAAAAATGTGTCAGTGTGACGTCATGTTAGTGTGAGATCACTGATCTAAGCCCATTGGCTCGTTGTGGCCCTGCAGCTCATGTTGCCCGTTAACTTCTGTAGCACGCCCACGATATGTCGTAGCCTGTGGTAGCACAGTAGTGCTAAGGTGCTAATGTTTTTGCTCCCCTCGCACAGAGCCAGAGCGGCTGAGCGACTGACCAATCACGGCAGAGCCGACAGGCCGACCAATCAGATCAGACTTGGCACACGTGGGGACTCTGAACGTGGGCACTTCAGAGCCTTAGAGAGAGAGTCAGAAGAGAGCCGGTGCACGGAGCAGCAGTTCATGAAAACAGACACTTTTTCAAACTATTGTGAACAAACTTTAGTAGATACATAGATTAAATATACGAACCCCAAACAGGGCAGAATATGACCTCTTTAAAATACCGCTGCCCCCTAACTGGTACACAACTGGTTTTGATTTCAGTGTGGACTCAACAATGTGAAGTCAATAAGTCATTATTTATAAAGCGCCGATTCAGAACAAGTGTTATCTGGAGACGCTTCACTAAAGATCATATGGGATAATATGCAGGAAGAGTTTCCCCTTTTTTTAATTCCTCTCGTTCCTGTTGTCCACACTTCCTCTCCGCTGAGGTCAGAGGTCAGAGCAGGAAGTGCAGGAATGAGGACGGCGGTGGTTTAAGGGGCGACACAGTCAGATGGTGGAGGCTGGGTGGTGGTAGTGCCAGATCACCTCTCTGAAGGTTGGGGGTCCTTCTACTCGAGAGCCCGGCTTCTAATGTTTCAAAGTATCAAACTTTATTTTTCTGTCAGTTCCTCAAATCTGTGAATTCACCAAAGTCACCTGTCGACCCCTGAACCTGCTTTTTTCCAATATTGACCTTTCTTTACTTTTATGACTTTTAAAAAATGGTCTTCCTCCATCCTCCTTCAGTCGCCTCTGGATGAAGCTTCTTCTTTCCCCCGACCTGAAAACCTACACAATCCTCTTATCCCTAAGCCTTTAATATACTCCAAACTTGTCCATCCAGCCTGTTTATGTTGAAGAGCATTCAGAGAGGGAGAGGTAGGCAGGTAGGGGCGAGAACCTTGCAGAGAGGCCCGGGGCACACCCAGTAAGGAAAGCAGCTACACCCTCTGATCGTTTCTGTATGTTAAGATGGGAGAGGCTTAAATCAGTTTACGTGTAGATCAACAGAGCCGTCATTACCAGAAAAAAAAAGCGCTGATTTCCAAATTAATTTCTCTGTGTCAGATTTAATGACGGTCAGGAAACGCCCCTCTGCAGAGGAGCTGACGATGAGCGATTTAACGGCTTTGTTGCAACAGTTTGGACACTTTGAGTCGAGTCTGGAGGGCGTGACGCAGAATGAGTTATTAGTTTAGTTTAGTTTAGTTTTTAGTTTAGTTTATTTGCACTTTTTTGAAAGAAGAGTCAAACAGAAAAATAAAACAAATAAAAAAATGTGCAGGTGAGGTACATGAGGGCTTATCTCCAAACCTCACCTTAAGAGATTAAACAGAGTTCAAATAGTGTGTGTGTGTGTGTGTGTAGAGTACACACTGCAGGAGTTCTCAGCTCCGCCTGGCATCAGATAACAGGTTACACAACAACCCGCTGTGTGAGCGCACTCTGCCGCTACACGCTGATGAAATGGAGGTGATGGGTGTGTCCAACTGAACGCACATGGCTTTGTTTGAGATAGGACAGTGGATATAGTCTGAAATCAGAGAGAGAGGAATGTCATGCAGGAAAGGAGCCACAGGTCGGATTCAAACCTGGGCCGCCCGCTTGGAGGACCACAGCCTCCGTACATGGGGTGTGCACACTAACCACTGCGCCACCAGCGCCCCTAAAATGTATTTTCAATGAAGGCTACACATGCATGTTGAAAAAAGGGGAAAATATATATTAAGAAGTTAGTGAGTAAAAAATAAAGATTTAAAACGTGCTACGTCATGTGTCTGAAGTTACTGATTAACAAAGTGTTTCTGGTCTTGGGGGTCAGAATCCAGCACCTCGTGGCGTCCGAGGTTGCACATGCTCATTTGCAGGAAAAATGCGCTCAGGGTAAAATGCTCTCGCTGATGTTTTGGATTTGGACTGCAGTACCCATTTTAACCACTAGGTATCAGAGCTACATACTGCTCTTTTAACACAATCTTTCTCTGTGGTGTCTCTTCAGGAAGAGGAGGAGGAGGAGGAAGTGGAGGAGGAAGAAGAGGAGGTCGTGGAAGTGGAAGAGACGGAGATCGTCAACATCGTGCAGTCGAAGCCCCCGCCGCCGATCGAGAGGATCTCCAGGACCGAGGTGAGGACCGAGATGAAGGAGATCCCTCAGCCGACCAAGATGGACACGCGGTACTTCGGCGAGCTGCTGGCCGACGTCTACAGGAAGAACTGCGACATCCACTCCTGCATCTTCGAGCACGTGTCCAAGATCAGAGGACAGTAAGTGACATATTAAATATCTCTCCTCAGGATAATCCACATCATACATCAAATCCTGCTGAAATGAAATCTGTCATTTCAGCTCTAACTACAAATGGTAGTTTAGTGTGATGTCATCATTCACAGTCTGCTTTTATAATCCTGGATCACAGATAAGTAGATTTTTTCTTTAGACGAGCGCTCTGGGATATTGTAACACAGATCGGTGTTACATCATGAGGTTTAGCATCATGAGCAGCGTGTTGGAACAGGCCGAAGGAGAGTTTCAGGGTGGCGGTTTTGGTTTCTTTGTGTCATATTTCTCCTGCAGACTCGACGGGTGTCATCATGGAAGTCCACTGGTGATTTATACGTTGGTGGAAATGAATGTGTAACTCAGATCGGGGGAGGGGGGGGGAGGAGGAGGAGATGGTGCTGCACAGTTTGAGTCAGTTTTGGTCGCTGCTCTTGTTGGACTCACTGCCTCACCTGAAACTGGTTCAGAAGGGGAGGAGCTTCAGGAAGTGTTGGTGGGGAATAAAGGAGGAAGAAATGAGCGGTGCGTTAGGGTGAAATCCTGCAGCCAATGACGCCATCGAGTTACCATCCACTTTATTCATGGAGGTGTCAGAGAGGGATTAACTGTGAGAACTTTTCACCTGATACATGATACTTAGTGATACTCAGAGAGTGATACTTAGTGATACTCAGAGAGTGATACTTAGTGATACTCAGAGAGTGATACTTAGTGATACTCAGAGAGTGATACTTAGTGGTACTCAGAGAGTGATACTTAGTGATACTCAGAGAGTGATACTTAGTGATACTTAGAGAGTGATACTTAGTGATACTCAGAGAGTGATACTTAGTGATACTCAGAGAGTGATACTTAGAGAGTGATACTTAGTGATACTTAGAGAGTGATACTTAATGATACTCAGAGAGTGATACTTAGTGATACTCAGAGAGTGATACTTAGAGAGTGATACTTAGTGATACTTAGAGAGTGATACTTAGTGATACTCAGAGAGTGATACTTAATGATACTCAGAGAGTGATACTTAGTGATACTCAGAGAGTGATACTTAGTGATACTCAGAGAGTGATACTTAGTGATACTCAGAGAGTGATACTTAGTGATACTTAGAGAGTGATACTTAGTGATACTCAGAGAGTGATACTTAGTGATACTCAGAGAGTGATACTTAGTGATACTTAGTGATACTTAGAGAGTGATACTTAATGATACTCAGAGAGTGATACTTAATGATACTCAGAGAGTGATACTTAGTGATACTCAGAGAGTGATACTTAGTGATACTTAGAGAGTGATACTTAGAGAGTGATACTTAGAGAGTGATACTTAGTGATACTCAGAGAGTGATACTTAGTGATACTTAGAGTGATACTTAGTGATACTCAGAGAGTGATACTTAGTGATACTTAGAGAGTGATACTTAGTGATACTCAGAGAGTGATACTTAGTGATACTCAGAGTGATACTTAGTGATACTTAGAGAGTGATACTTAGTGATACTTAGAGTGATACTCAGAGTGATACTTAGTGACGCATGATGGATCAAAAATAGAACTTTCAAATTATAAAAAAAATATGATACTGAGAGTGATACTTAGTGATACTTAGAGAGTGATACTTAGAGAGTGATCTTAGTGATACTTATCGATACTTAGAGAGTGATACTTAGTGATACTTAGAGAGTGATACTTAGAGAGTGATACTTAGTGATACTCAGAGAGTGATACTTAGAGAGTGATACTTAGTGATACTTAGAGAGTGATACTTAGAGAGTGATACTTAGTGATACTTATTGATACTTAGAGAGTGATCTTTGTGATACTTAGTGATACTTATTGATACTTAGAGAGTGATCTTAGTGATACTTAGTGATACTTAGAGAGTGATACTTAGAGAGTGATATTTAGTGATACTTAAAGAGTGATACTTACAGAGTGATACTTACAGAGTGATACTTAGTGATACTTAGTGATACTTAGAGAGTGATACTTAGTGACGCATGATGGATCAAAAATAGAACTTTCAAATTATAAAAAAAATATTTTTAATTACATGTTTGAAAATCCATTATTTTGCATTTAAAAATACAAATTTTAGGCTTTTATTTTAAATTCTAGTACCGTCTTAAGGTTGCTGTGTGCTTTTATTTTGAAATAAAGTAAGCCCCTTCCTGTAGATGGAAGGTTAGGACGTGAAGTTAAAACCAGAAACAGGAAGTGGTTAGGGATCCCAAACTGAGGTCAAACAGCTCAAATGAACGTTAACAAAGGTCGATGTCTGATGTCATGAGGTCGATGTGTGATGTCATGAGGTTGATGTGTGATGTCATCAGGTCAGTGTGTGATGTCATAAGGTCAATGTGTGATGTCATAAGGTCAATGTGTGATGTCATAAGGTCAATGTGTGATGTCATAAGGTCAGTGTGATGTCATAAGGTCAATGTGTGATGTCATCAGGTCGATGTGTGATGTCATCAGGTCAATGTGTGATGTCATAAGGTCAATGTGTGATGTCATAAGGTCAGTGTGATGTCATAAGGTCAATGTGTGATGTCATAAGGTCAGTGTGATGTCATAAGGTCAGTGTAAGGTCAGTGTGATGTCATAAGGTCAGTGTGATGTCATAAGGTCGATGTGTGATGTCATCAGGTCAATGTGTGATGTCATAAGGTCGATGTGTGATGTCATAAGGTCAATGTGTGATGTCATAAGGTCAGTGTGATGTCATAAGGTCAATGTGTGATGTCATAAGGTCAATGTGTGATGTCATCAGGTCAATGTGTGATGTCATAAGGTCAGTGTGATGTCATAAGGTCAATGTGTGATGTCATAAGGTCAGTGTGATGTCATCAGGTGGATATTACTGTGTGAGAGTTTGTTAAAGTGAAATGAGACATTCAGAGATGCAGCAGTGAGACTACAGTGAGACACTGAGGACGAGTATCTACGGAGAGCCTGAAGGGACAAAATAGCATTAGATTAATAATCGTAAAAACTTTAAGTAATTGAGATGAACTAGTTAAAGGCTGTAGGACCAGATGAAAAACTTGCTTAAAGATGGCTGAAAAAAGAACTTGTTTAGTCCTCTGAGGATAAACAGGAAGTGTCACTGCTTTGGGATTTTTGTTGCAGGATTCGATTGATTCCTAATTTAAAAATCTCAGATTCTTGTTTTTGTCCGTACTGTGAGATCAGTGAACACACGAACATCTCACCTCAGTGTCTCAGTGAAACCCCAACGTCTGAATGTTTGACTCATGAGTTATTATCATGACTCTTGTTCACTCAGCAAACACTCTTAGTCACTTTCTTTTCTTCCCTCTCTCTCACGCACACACCTCAGTTTCTCCACAGAGTCATACTGCAGGCTTCATTGTTTCTCTTTCCTCTGTGTGTGTTACAGGAAACACCTTCTGGATCCCAGCAATGACTACAAGGTGAGAAAAACACAAATCACACACATCTGGTGAATACATCTGAGCTCTGCAGACACACAACCATCTGAGGTCAGAGTCAGAGCCTTGAAATCAACTTGTATATGATGACTTATTCTGACATTTCCCTCAAACAACTTCAGTGATTTTTTAAAGTCACAGACAAATTTACAAAGTTGGAATAAAATGGTGAGAGTTTTTCTCGAGTTTCACAGGTCGCTCCTGTGATCTTGTTGTTTGGAGTTCAGGTGTTTAAGGCTCTTTCTCTCCTTGGCATTCAGATCAAATTGAACAAGTTTAATATCGTTGCAGTTCTTATGATGTGACCATTGTCAACAACCAATAGGAGCTCTCTCGCCTACACCAAACAGGAAGCTGCAGGAAGGCGCAGCTCTCCTGGACTGTGGAGAAGGAGGAGAAACTGATTGAGGTGTTAGGAGAGAACGTCTCTCTGATGTGTCCTCCTCTTTGTACCACGATCAAGACGAGAAGGAAAAAAGGGGACAAAATTGCAATTGCTGCAAATCTCCTTCTGCAGGTTCACCTACGTAAACCTTGTTACTACTTTTACTTCCTCTAGCTCAGTGCTTCCCAAAGTGTGGGCCGCGGCCCCCTTGTGGGCCGTGTGGGTACTGCAGGTGGGCCATGAAAAGCCCTTCAACAATTTTAAAAATAACAGAAATATCACAATAATGTTGATTTACCATGAGTCAACAAGTGATTAGTAAGACGTGTCATGACTAATTATGGACATAATGCTCAGTAAACTTTTGTGTCTATCTCGCCATAATATCATGTTGTAATGTCCAATAATTTACCTTTACCGAAAGTTATAGCTGTAGTCATAAAAAAACATTTATAATGGGCCCCAGAGTAATTTTGTATTTCAAATTACGCGGCTGTCTGAAGTTTGGGAAAGGCTGCTCTACATAATCGAGTTTTGATCGTCTCCTCGTGGTACAAAGACGAGGAGTCGTTCTCTCTCTCTCTCCACGGCTCCTCAAGTTTCTCCTCCTTCTCAGTTTTCTGCTCAAAGTCATATAGTTGTGAAGGCGCACTCACACTAAGTCTCTCCGTACCGTGCTACAAGACGAGTCTGTAAACAAACACTGAAGGAAAACGTTTATTTATTTTGTGTTCAGGTGGAGAAAGAGGAGGTGGAGTCTTTGCTTCCCAAAGGAGCCACTGAACTGACCAAACAACAGATCCGCTACCTGCTGCAGGTGAGTGACAGATCGCACTCCTTATTACTTATCATACATGGCTTTAGGATGATTCTAACTTTCCCCTTTACCTTTAAAAACTGAGTTTATAAAGTGTTCAGCAGGATATTCAGACGATAACAGAGCAGCAGATACACAAACATTAAGTTCTAACAAAAGCCAGACAAAGTTAAAGGACAAGCAGATTTTCAGATCAAAACAAACTTCTCTTCAGACACACCTCCTTCATCCCTCAGCTCCCCCCCTCCCCTCCTGTCTCCACCCTTCCCTCACCCCTCCCGTCGTGTTTCGAGAGACAGAAGCAGACGACATCTGAAAACAAGATTCTGAGATCAAGTTTGATTAACGCATCTAAAACTCGATTTGGTCCATATCGGTTTTTCTTTCTTTTTTAGACCAAAGAAAATAATTTCCTTGTTTTGGTAAATTTGTTGGTTCTCCTTCAGGTGTACTCTTGCAACGACACTGCATTATCATGACACTAGACACAGTTTACCTGAGTGGGCGGGGCCTATCTCACCATGTATGAAACATGTTTGAGCCTCCGAGTGAAACAAACAAACTGAAGGAGACAAACCCAGAGGAAGTCTGAGTAAATCGAGTAATATCGGCCCATATGGGAGATAAAATTGATAGTCACTGGATATGCTGATATCGGCCGATACTATCGGCTGGTCAATGAATCGGTCCGGCTCTAATATTCATATTCAGAATGTCGCATATTAAAACCTTTGGAGGTAAAGAAGACTTGAGATAGTCCCTCTGCACCTTTAAGAAAAAGCTAAAGAGCCAGCTCTTTCATGAATACCTACTAACTTAATGATGATGGTCTCCATATTATTGATGATGATGATGGTAATGACGATGGTTTTTGTTTGATAACGACGACTTATAAGATGGTTTCTATACTGATTAGAGCTCTCAAGAACTGCCCTCAATGTTGTGCTTTGCCTCTGGTCACTTCCTGTCAGCACCTGTGTGTCCAATCAGACTCAAAGCTGATCGTTTGCTCTTACTCACATTGTTCCCTTTTTTCTAGATCCTTGCTTGTGTTGTTCTTACTCTCTGATGTACGTCTCTTTGGATAAAAGAGTCTGATAAGAGAATTGTAGAATTGTAGATGCAAAAACAAAGAAACGAGAAAACAGAAGAAGAGCGATGAAGATGTCGAAGAGATGTACAGAAAAAAAGCACAAATCAAAGAATTAAGGGAATAAATACGATGCACTGCTTTTTTATTTGTTTCCTTTAAATTCTGTTTCATGTTTTTTGTGAAGTTTCTTAACCTCACTTTAAAGAACATTATAGAGTGTGATTATAAACTGTTATATTCTTGCTTATTCTGGTTATAAAAGCTGCAGTTAAAATAAAGTGTAAACACTTTTCATTTATAATTGTGAAGCTTTTTAAAAAACTGTTGTTTCTCAGAGAACTCAGCCGGCGTCTGGCTGCAGGTCAGACCAGAACACTGACCTCTATCTGTTGTTAATAAATCTGTGTGTGTGTGTGTGTTTGTCTTTGTGTGTTCAGACTCGTCTGACTGCAGATAAAAGCATGCGTCTGCTGCTGTCCACCTTCAGCAGCCTGAGAGAGGAGCTGCTGCACATGTCTGAGGACCTGAGGGTAAGACGGGAAGGGGCTCTGACCTCCTTTATACACTCTTAAATTCTATTAATCTACTCGATTACTCTCAAGGGGTTTTTTTAGATTTTAGAGAAGTTTAGATTTTTAAAAATGGTATTTAACAGATTCTATTCTTGTGTCATGAAATAATAATAATAATAATAATAATGATCTTTATTTATAGAGTACTTTTCAAAAACAAGTTACAAGGACAGCAAATATAAAAACAGGCAGGTCATATAATAATAAACAATAAAAATCACTATAAAAAATAAAATCCCTTTTTAAAAGAACTGTAAAATACACACAATTCTTTTAAAGGAAAATAGTAACAAATTTAAAATCAACAGAAATCAGGAAAGGCTCGCCAGAAAAAGTGTGTCTTAAGAAGAGATGAGTGATTCTGCCGACCTGATCTTCTTGGGGAGGTCGTTCCAGAGTCTTGGAGCCCTCACGGAAAATGCTCTATCCATTTTGTTTTTAATTTTGCATTTGGAACCACCAGGAGACCTCAGCCCCCGAGGATCTCAATGTGCATGTGGGGTTTGTAAGGTAGTAAAAGGTCTGATAAATATCTAGCTTTAAAAGTAATCAGTCAAATCTTCAAATCAATTCTAAAACACCTCTCTGTCATCGTGGAAGTGAGCTGAACGGACTGAAGATTTTTGCTCAAGGGTAATTCTTCCAACGATTACAGAAAATCTTCTTTTTGACTCCTGCTGTGTCTGCTTAAATGCATGTTACAAAAACAGTAAAATGAGTTTCTGAAAGTCTTTAAAAGTGCTTTTGCAAAGACGCAGAGAAACTGAGACGAAATTGTTTAATCAAATCGAAGACAAAACAATTGCACAATGAGCTCGAGTCCTTTGAGAAGATTAAATCATACTGAATAAATGACTGTCAGGGCTTACAAAGCGTTGTGAATATTCCCACATTTCATGCATGCCTGCAGGTGTTGTGTTAAGGTTCAGATCCAGGACTCTGATTGTGTACATACAGATCCAGGACTCTCATTGTGTACATACAGATCCAGGACTCTCATTGTGTACATACAGATCCAGGACTCTCATTGTGTACATACAGATCCAGGACTCTCATTGTGTACATACAGATCCAGGACTCTCATTGTGTACATACAGATCCAGGACTCTGATTGTGTACATACAGATCCAGGACTCTCATTGTGTACATACAGATCCAGGACTCTCATTGTGTACATACAGATCCAGGACTCTCATTGTGTACATACAGATCCAGGACTCTCATTGTGTACATACAGATCCAGGACTCTCATTGTGTACATACAGATCCAGGACTCTCATTGTGTACATACAGATCCAGGACTCTCATTGTGTACATACAGATCCAGGACTCTCATTGTGTACATACAGATCCAGGTCGCTGCAGAAGTTTGTGTCGGGTTAGAACAGCGTGTCCCCTAGCAGCCTGAACAAATGAGCTTCTCACAGCCGAGTGCGAGCGAATGAAATGCTTTAAATTACAACAGACGTCTGCAGGCTTTGTGCTGGATAATAACGACGTATTGTTGCAAGTGTTCGAGCGGTTTGGTGGAGTCGGGTTTGATTGTGTGCTCGCATTCCTGAACAGAAACTAATCGCTGCTCGACAGACATGAAACAAACTGAAATAAAGTTTATATGTAGAAAACAAAAGTTAGAGGAACTCAGTAATGTGTGTTAAATTTTAATTGTGTCTGTGTGTCTGTGTTTGCAGCGTCTGGAGAGCGAGAAGGAGGCTCTGGAGCGAGATCTGAGCTTCAAGGCGGATCAGGCTCGTCAGTATGACTGTCTCCTGGAGGCTGTGCGAGAAAACAACAGACAGCTGCAGGTACTGTGTGTGTGTGTGTGTGTGTGTGTGTGTGTGTGTGTGTCACACATTTACAGTATCTACATTGGTTGGGTACCATAAACCCTCATGCATCCTGGGCAGTGTTAAGGACCTCCCCCCTTCCCTTAACAGGCAGGACAATGCTGCCTCCTGCTGGATGTAAACAATATCTCATTCAGTCTTTTTAAACAGTCAGACACAGAACTGCATGTGAGGCGGACGAGGGAGAGAAAGTCCTCAAAGGAGACACATCATTAATGCAAAGTATGGATTTTAAAGATCCCTGCACCACTCACTTGATCAGTTGCCCTCAGAGAAGCTGTTCACACTTCCAGATGTGGTGTAAGCGGTCAGATATCAGTCCTCCATCAGGACACAGGACCATCTAGGACCTGTAGTAGACTATCAGTGTTTTAAGGTCCTTAAAAGTCTGTAAAGTGATGATGTCACATCTGACACCAACTGGTGTGTGTGTGTGTGTGTGTGTGTTGTGTGTGGTGTGTGTGTGTGTGTGTGTGTGTGTGTGTGTGTGTGTGTGTGTGTGTGTGTGTGTGTGTGTGTGTGTGTGTGTGTGTCTCTGTGTGTGTGTGTGTGTGTGTGTGTGTCTGTGTGTGTGTGTGTGTGTGTGTGTCTGTGTGTGTGTGTGTGTGTGTGTGTCTCTGTGTGTGTGTGTGTGTGTGTGTGTGTGTCTCTGTGTGTGTGTGTGTGTGTGTGTGTGTGTGTGTCTCTGTGTGTGTGTGTGTGTGTGTGTCTCTCTGTGTGTCTCTCTGTGTGTGTGTGTGTGTGTGTCTCTCTGTGTGTCTCTCTGTGTGTGTGTGTGTGTGTGTGTGTGTGTCTCTGTGTGTGTGTGTGTGGTGTGTGTGTGTGTGTGTGTGTGTGTGTCTCTGTGTGTGTGTGTGTGTGTGTGTGTGTGTGTGTGTGTGTGTGTGTGTGTGTCTCTGTGTGTGTGTGTGTGTGTGTGTGTGTGTGTGTGTGTGTGTCTCTCTGTGTGTCTCTCTGTGTGTGTGTGTGTGTGTGTGTGTGTCTCTCTGTGTGTCTCTCTGTGTGTGTGTGTGTGTGTGTGTGTGTGTGTGTGTGTGTGGTCCTCTCCAGATGTCTCTTAAAGAAAGCAGCTCTGCTCAGCGCTCTCTGGAGACTCAGCTCATGAGCAGCAGAAGCACCGACTCCAGCAGAGACTTCAAAGTGAAAGAACAGGACGGGAGGCTGAGAGCGCTGGAGAAGGAGAACGAGATGCTGAGACAGAAGGTAAACCACCTGTCTCACCTTCACCTGTCTCACCTTCACCTGTCTCACCTTCACCGGTTAACTTGGTCCCTCTGTTGTTTAGCTGTCAGGTCAAGGCAGCAGCAGCACGCTGCACATCAAGACGGAGGAGCTGTCCCGTCAGTACAACGAGCAGCTGGACAGCATGAGGAAAGAGAAGGACCAGGAGATCCAGAGACTGAGGGTGAGGACCATTATCAAATGTTTCCCTGAGGTTCAATCATAATGACTCTATCATCACAGTCACTGTTTCCAACTGTCAACACATCAGACTCACTTTACTTAAAGTGCATTAACCAATGTAAACACGAGAGCCGGCCAAACTGCTGATGAGGAGAAGAATACTCTTTATAAACATGATCATAGTACCCAGCTATAACCCTATATATGTGTGTGTGTGTGTGTATATATATATATACACATATATAACCCTTGTCTCTCTCTGTCCTCCCTCCAGACCCAGATAACAAGGATCCAGACCGAGACCACCACAACCACCTCGTCCGACAACAGTCTGCAGCTGAAGATCTCAGAGCTGCTCGCCATGTTGCAGCAGAGACAGACCACCATCACCCGACAGGAAGAGGTACAACTAACACCCAGAGAGAGAGAGAGAGAGAGAGAGAGAGAGAGAGAGAGAGAGAGAGAGAGACAGAGAGAGAGAGAGAGAGAGAGAGAGAGAGAGAGAGAGAGAGAGAGAGACAGAGAGAGAGAGAGAGACAGAGAGAGAGAGAGAGAGAGAGAGAGACAGACACGAGAGAGAGAGAGAGACAGAGAGAGAGAGAG